TCACTACATACATAATTATGGTGTATATGTAGGCGTATATTACGGACAGAATCTGCTCGACAATAGCTTTGGCCCAGTAGTACGACCCGGTGCCGTACCATCCTATTGATTATGCAATATAAAGAATTTGTGTTAAACTTCTGGTAATAATTTTGTTATCGATTTTGAAAATAAATTATTTAAATGTAAATCAATATTGTGTTGAAAACTGAACAGAAAATGCCTACTATTTTGGTGTTCAGTCGTGAATATCTTCATCTCATGCAAGAAATTTGATGTCGAAATAGCCGTATGTATGGTATATACGGATACCGATGCGATGTACTGGTGGTACAGGTTTTGCTCCAGTATTCCCATCTCCTCGACGATCTCATCGCACGTGTAGTCCATATACATGTATGAGCCCGCATTAAAACAGCCGTCAATTTTGCCGATATTTCTATTGTAGGCAAACGTTAGGCACAACAGGAATAGGATGTAAAACAAGATTTGCGAAAACAAGCCCTTCCACTGACACAGGAATGTGTAGAGCGATGTCCGCAGCAATAGATACCAAAAGTCTTTAAAATTGAATCTTTTGCTGCCATTCCTCTGAAACCCTTGTGTCAAATGCATGTCATCTCCGGTGCACTTATTCAACAAATTGTCTCTCAATTCTCGGCTTTTATCCGATAATCTCTTAACGTGTGAATCATTTATAGGTTTTGATGAGTATTTGAGTAAAACTTCAATCGGAAACTGGATCTCATTATCAGGTCCAGTGCCACATGTGATGCCACACTCGCGTAAGTGGTCTGAGAGGTGTTGGGGTCGACCCCAGTATATGTTGACCCCATGTCTGGCCAACACATACACGTTATCGAAGTGCATAAACACCTCATTATTTGGCTGATGTATGGATGTTATGATTGCTATGTTATGCTTACGACTCAATGTCTTGAGACATGAAATAACCTGAAAATTAAAAACATACAAATTATATGGTGCTCTAATAAGGGTACCACAGGTACCAGGGTACTACAGGTAGAAACCAATATTTAAATAATTAATTTTGTACAATAAATGAAACAAATTGTTTGTAAATATTTACAGTTTAGCATAATACAAAGTACTATTTTATTTATGATATGTACATAACATCATATAATTCACTGAAATGTTTTAAACTTATTTAAACTAAATTTAAAATATAGGGAAATATATGGGAAAGACATGAATACATACGACATCCGCAGCGTTGGAGTCGAGACCAGTGGTCGGCTCGTCGATGAACATCACGTTTGGCAACAAAACGGACGTCAACTCCATTGCTATCACCAGACGCTTCAGTTCCCCTCCACTGCACTCATCCACACGAGTCGACCCGATGTCCCCAATCAACAGCTCATCCATCAGTTCCCGGACACGACTCCTATGGCTTACGGGACAACCACTCTTCACATCCGAGTTCTTCAGTCTACACGCGTAGGTCAGCGCCTGTCGTACTGTCAGTCCCTTCAGGAGCCGTTCATTTTGGTCCTGATATATGAAACACGACCTAATCTTATGACACGAATTCACGTATATCTGTGTCTTGGGTCCCAATGTATAGCGTGTACTGCCATTGAGGCATTTGAGCAAGGTGGTCTTCCCAGACCCACTCGACCCCATCAGTGCACTGATAGTCCCGAACTCGAACCCACCGGACAGTCGTCTCAAGAGTTGTTTGCGTCGATTGCCCACAACTGACACAATACCGACATCCAGGTCCACGAAACCGATCGCCAGTTCCTCTGACATTTCTTTTCGTTAATACTTTGCTTTCAATTCAATTAATTATATTATTATCAGATTATAAATCCTGTAAAAACAAAAAAATTTAAATATTATTATATTTATTAGATATGATAACGAAATATATTGATAGGTATAACAGTATCTAAATAATGTAATTCATTACCAGAATAAATATTACAGAAGTTTTAAAATTGTATAGAAATTTAAATTAAATTCTTTATTGACTTACATAATTAAAAAATGTTTTTATTTATAAAACAAAACATGGGTTTATTATTATTGTCACTTTAAAACTCCTGACAATTAATCATTTATTCAGGAAACATATGGTTTGCAAATTGCATTCACGTTATAATATTTTATTTTACATAACAGACTCACAATTACAACACTATTCCCATATGTAAATTCCTGTATATAATCATACATTTCTCACGAATTAGTAAAAATAATACTAACCTAGCATATGACCTAACTTATAAACAATGCACAAAATTTAAATATAATAGACTCTTTAAATAAAATTAAAACTTGTTTCTTATTATAACATATATTGGGTGTCAATTTTAGAGTATACTTGTACTGTGTAGCACTTAAAGGAAATTATAAATTTATTAAATTATATTTAATTGAAATATACTTTTTATGGATATTGTTTTGTCTAGTGGCAATTGCTAACTACAAATTCTTGACTACACTTGCATCTCACACACACACACACACACACACACACACACTCACTCACTCACACACACACACACACACACACACACAAGAATATTAATAAAGGTTTTGTTATCCAATTATCCAATAATCTCATTTTACATACATTGTGTTGTATACTGTATAACATTAAAAGTTAATAAACTTTTAAAACCAATTTATAATCAGATTATTAACTAGAAAATTAGATAATACCTTAAAATTTAAACGATTAACAAATGTTAAGATATGCTTAAATAAATAAAAAACGCAAAAATGTTTAATTTATTTTTGCATTAATTAATACCATATTAACAGATAGCATAATATTCTAGTAATTAAAATCAATTCATGCATTGGTTTGATGTAAACTATCAAAAAATATTATTTCACTGTAAAAACAAAAAACCATTTAATTATTTATTAAAATATAGTTTGAGTCTGAGAATTATTAATTAATATATAAGTTTTAATTTTAGGCAATTAAAATTTAATTAAGTAAATTACAAATACAAGTATTAAATTTAAGTTTATATTAAACCTTTAATAATTAATGATTTGTGAATTCGACATAATTTTCCAAATGAGATAAATATTATTAATACAGTAATTTTAATCATTAAATAATATCCTTTTTTAAAATTAGTTCTAGTTATAATTGCTATTGAAAGTTAAATAAACATTTTCAAAATGCTGTTTTCAAATTTTTATTTACCTTTAATTTTAGAATTAACAGTAAATATGTAATTTTTATAAAACTACTTTTAAAGTATTAATGAAATTATTTTAGAGTAGAAATATTTATTAAAACTTTAGATAAAATTGAAATAATATGTAAATGTATATATTTTGATTATATAATAATAGCCTTCAACTCAACTCATATGAAAAGCATTGGATTATTGGGAATAATTTGGGAATAAATTATTTTTTCTCCAAACTGTCAGTCCTTTTGGCCGACTTATTGAAGACAAGCGGACGCTCTGATTGATTGTGAAAATGAGAAAAATGTCTCAAATGTTATGGCGATATATAAACACATTTTTGACTAAATGTTTGGATCAAATTATAGGACAATAAAATTGAAATTAAAGTTAAATCAATATTTTTAGTTTAAGGCTATCATTAAAATGATACTAGAATTATAATAACGTATACAGTTGTTTTATTATTATATAACTGTTTGAGCAAACGATTCATTATTTTACAACATTTAAAAACAATTAAAGATATAATTTATGCTTTTTAAATGTAATGTTATATTAAATGTTCCGATAAATATTAAAACATTTTTTTTCCTACACTTATGTAAAATATAATAATTTATTACAACTTTTGATTTCAATAAATCAGAAAATGTAAATAATATTTTTATGAGAGTCTATTTCAATATAATATTGATATAAATTTACCAAAGATTTAGGTTAAATAATAAGAGATTTGAGTTGAAGTTCAGACCACTTGTAAACTTCAATTGATATTCAAAAACGATTTTATTGTATTGAAAAATAAAACATAAATTTAATGTTTATGATTATGTTATT